CGGGGGAGAGAAAGCAAGCTGCCAGGTGCAGGGCTGAAACCGCGGTCAGTCCTGTGGGAGTCCAGTGCCCTTCGCCACCACGTCAGCTCCTGGCCCCAAGCCTATCATTTTGATTGACACTGAAACTGTTTAGGAAGGCTTGTTCGGGGCCAGCTGATGGCGTGCTGGTTAAAATGACCGGGTCCCACACGGCGAACTGCACAGCTTGAGTCCAGGACCCGGTGGCCTGAAAAGGACGCTGGGGCTGTGTACGTGTGTCCCAGATCCCGAGAGAATGGAAGGCAAGTGGTCATGGCGGGGCCACCCTCGGGGAGGGCTCTCTCACTCTCTCTACTTCTCTCTGTCTCTCTCTGGTGAGTGCACATGCCCTATAGCAAATTAAAAATAAATAAATAGTTAATTTATTTCTTCCTTAAGTGAAAACAACATGGGGGTCGGGGGGCAGCACCCCAACAGTCTCGACACGGTGGCCCACCCCAGCTTCAGGCAGTCCCGGATCACGGTCCATGTGTGCCTGGCTTACTGAGCGAGGTCTCTGAGCACGGCTGGGCACCTCCTCCCGTGGTCAGCCTTGCAGGGCACGGCCTTCCTCTCAGGCGCCGGCCCGTCGCCCTGGCTGAACGCTGTGGCCTCCTCCAGCTCCTGGCAGCCACTGTCCAGCTCTTCTTCCACTCTGAGTCCGCCTGCGTGGGGGATCTCGTGTGGGGGATCATGTAGCATTTGTTGTTCTGTGACTGGCTTATTTCGCTTGCATATGATCCTCAAGGTCGCCCATGTTATTCCACATGACAGAATCTTCCTCAAAAGGCTGGAGTGTTCCGCAGTGGGTACGCACCACGCGTCATGTACCCAGTCACCTGCTGGTGGGTATTTGGGCTGTTCTCACGTTTCGGCTCTTGGGAACAGTGCCGCGTACCTGTTCAAGATCTCCACTTGCTCTCTTGGGTGTGTGCCCAGAAGTAGGGTTGCTGGTCTGTATGGCAGCTCTATTCTGTAACTTTCTGGAGAAGCTCCATGCCGTTTTCCAGGGTGGCTGTGCCATGCTCACTCCCAGTGTACAAGAGTTCCGATGTCTCCGTCCCGTGCCGATTCAGATCGTCGTCTTCTTTTCTTTTCTCTCCTTCTTCTCCTTCTTTCCTCTCTCTCTTTTTTAAATTTGCTAGAGGGTACATGCACTCACCAGAGAGAGACAGAGAGAAGGAAAGTAGGAAGCGTCCCCCACAGGGAAGCTCACATCACAGCCCCTTCTCTGTTTCTCCTCTTAGGGTTTCGGTCATGCACGTCCACACACTTGGTATTTTTCAGACCGCAGTCCAGGACTCCCGCCGCACAGTCGGCCATGTAGGACCCAGTCACCTTAACCATGCCACCGACCGGCCTCTCTTGCTTTTTTTTTAAGTTCTATTTATGCTATTCATAAGAGAAAGTGAATGAGTATGAACAAGAGAGGAAGGAGGGACAAATACCCTGACTCTTACCAGGTCGCGGTCCTCTTCCCCGGTCCCCCAGCTCCTCGGGGTCTTGCGTACACACCCAGCGTATTTTCAGCGGCTCAGGATCTGAACCTGTGGTCAGCCGTGTGCCTTTCCGCACTGCAGTTCAGTACGCCACCTCCTGCAGGACCAAGGCTGAGCCTTCGATCTTTTCATAATAGCCATCTTAATAGGTGTGAGGCGACTCGTTGTGGTTTAGATTTGCATTTCCTTGATGGTTAGTGACATTGAACTTTTGATTTATTTATTGTTGGCCATTTGTATGTCGTCTTCGGGAAATGGCTATTCAAGTCCTCAGCTCGTGTTTTAACTGGACTATGAATTTTAAATGAAGAAAACTTTGTTATTGCCAGAGGGCACAAGAGGAAGAGAGAGAGAGAGTCAGAGACAGAGAGAGAGAATAACCCCCGGGGGGCGTGGTGACGCCACGGTCCTTTTCCCTTCATTTCTTCACCTTCTCAGGATTTGGGGCGCACACACTTACACCCTACATCCGCTGTGGTTTTCAGGTCGCTGGGAGCAGGACTTAAACTGCGGTCAGCCATGTGGGACTTGGCTCTTAACCGCCGCACTTCGGGGCTGGCCGAGGTCATCAGTCCCGTGTGCTGCCGTTTCTGTTGAGCTGTTGGTTCTTCCACATGAGGTTGTCGACAAAGTCACGACTGCTTTCAACGCTTTGCTCGTAAACATGCATCGTGACTCTCCCGACAGCTCAGTATTTTGGAGGCTAAGCCCTTACCGGATGTATGGTTTGCAAGTATTTCCTCCCATTCTGTAGCTGGGCTTCTCTCTGTTCATTGTCTCCTTTGCTGTGCAGAAGCTTTGTACCTTGCTGTAGTCCCTTTTGTGTCCTGCTGTTTTGCTGTCTGTGCTTTGAGTACCCTCGCCATGAAATCACGGCCGGGACCAGTCTCGCCTTTGGCTTATCCATACGCTGTTGGGCATTTAGGATGTCCCCACCCTGTGTGAATTCATGGATGTCGTTATAAACGTCTGAGTACGAGCCTCTGTTTGAATAACTGCTTTCCATTTGCTTTGGGCACAGCGACAGTTCCGGTCCTATGGTAGTCTCGTCCTCAGCGCTGTGTGCATAATTTTGTTTGTTTTCGATGTGCTCTCACCATGTCGTGATCCTCCTGCCTCAGCCTCTCAAGTAGTTGGGACTGCAGGTGCGTGCGCCATCCCCAGCTTTAAGCTGGGTCAGGACTTGAACCTGGACCTCCCATGTGGTTCCAGCCTGCCTGAGCAAAGAGCCTTAGTGGCCTCAGCACAGATGGGCCCGTGTTTAGCTTGTTGGAGGAACCGTCCAACTGCCTGTCTCCTTATCCCTGTGTCTAAGGCAGAAGACAGCCTAAAGTTAGCTGCATGCTTGCTGCAGGGAAGAACGGTTGTGTGAAGGCTACACGGTGGACAGACGCATGGCTGCGTGGAAAGGAGGGTGGAGGGAAGGTGGGTGAAGAGTCGTGGGGCTGAACAGCTTCCCTGACTCTCCTTCGGATCTCTCTTTCCTCAGGGTCCCCGCAGCTGCGCCTTGTGGCTGGGCCCAGCAGGTGCTCAGGCCGGCTGGAGGTGTGGCATGGTGGGCGCTGGGGGACAGTGTGTGATGACGGCTGGGACATGCGGGACGCTGCCGTGGTCTGCCGGGAGCTGGGCTGCGGGAGGCCTCTGCAGCCGGACCCTGCTGCTGGCCGCTTCGGCTGGGGTGCAGGGCCCATCTGGCTGGACGACGTGGGTTGTGTGGGCACAGAGCCTTCGCTGTCGGACTGCCCTGCCGCTCCCTGGGGGAAGCACAACTGTGCCCACAATGAAGACGTTGGGGTCGCCTGCAGCGGTAAGGGGGCTCTAGCCGTCGTGGACGCCGGGGGCTTCCCGGGAGGGCGTGGGGCTAGCACCGGCACTGAGGTCGACCAGCGCCTGCTAAGGCCCGGCCGTGTGCCGGGTGTTTTCGCACACGCGACACCGTCAAAAGCACGGAGCAGTCTGGGTCAGTGGGTGTCGGACCTGCCTCCCCGGTGAAGGAGGGCACAGAAGGGCACGTAACTGGCCCAAGGTCACACGGTGAGTAGGTGCAGTACCGGTCCCCACTCCGAGAAGCTCCTTTCCCTTCTCTTTGCCGAAAGCAGGGAGCTTTATCCTCCCTGAGGTGAGAGGAAGCCGGGAGGAGCCAGAGTGAGAGCCAGCTAAAGTAAACTCGGCAACGCGTCCGCTTGTCCTTCCTTTCACCCCCTTATTACTGGGGCCGATTACGCGGCAGACCCCGAGCTGGGTGCTGGGCCCTCAGAAGGAACGAATATGGTCCCGGTCTTTGAGAAGCTCGGAGCGCACAGAAGAAGATGGCAACGGATGCCGGCAAGCCCTTCCACAGCCTGGGAGGCCTCCGAGGTCACCCGCAGGCCCGCTAGCTCACTAGGACTGTAGGGACCAGGCACGCAGGCACGTTCGAGGCTGCGGCTTGCTCCCAGAAAGGGCACCGGCCACAGGGGAGCAGTGCAGGAGCGCCTGGGTGCGCCCAGCTGTCCTCGCCCACTGGGCGTGTGCAGAGTCCCTCGTCCTCCCAGAGGTGAGACGTGGCAGCACTCCCAGGGGAGCCCCAGCCCTGACGGAGACGCACCGAGAGATCTGCAGCGGCACGGACGGCGCGTAGACGTGGCTGGCCGCGTAGACGTGGCTGGCCGTGTGCGTGGCTGGCCGTGGA